TATGATTGCCTCTCTACTATAAGAGAGCTAATCTATGGAATTAAAGCATTTTGTTATCCCAAGTATAGAGGGTCAAGAATGTAAGGGAAGTATAAAAACTTGAAAATGATTAACCCAGAGTAGAGGCACATTAAAATATTATGGATTCAGCATATTTAGTATTTACCAGGCAGAGAAAAAGAGTAAGTGCGACTCTTTGGATTTGACTACTATATCTTCAGGACAGCTCCTTACCATTTTTCAAAGCATTATTGTTGGGTAGGTTTTATTGGGGGAAAGGGATCACAAATCACGACCTCATCCAAAACCAAACATAAATGAAACTTACAAATGAGCATTACAAAAGATGGTGGCTGGAAACAAAGGCTGTGTCCAAAAGGTCACTAAGGCCAACAGGCCATTAAGAGGGAAAGGCCTTTGCTTCATTCAAGATTTAGCATCTGATAATCTCATTGGATGAATCTACCTGGAAGTTCCTCTCTGATTATGTTTAACCACAAATGTGGTTGTTTACCATAATGATTGTCATTGTACCTGGATATTAAGAGCAAAACCACTGACTCTGAAGACAAATGAATACCTGTTGAACTTAGATTGAGAACTAATCGGGGAAAAACTGGTTGGGTAAGCAAACTTCTAGAGACCCAAAACACTATAAAACAAGGTGTTTTAAAAAAAATTCTTTAACTCAAAATGATTTTTAAAAATTTATTAGAAATTATAAAAGATCTTTCCTGAGCATTAGTAAAATAATCCATATAACCAGCTTAATAAGGCTGACATTCAATGGAGAACAATGAATTTGTCTTTTGCAATCAGTCATTGTAAGTGTGTGATTATATTAAGCATCTCTTATTAAAGCTTGTGATTTTAATGAATGTTAAGTGTGTGTGTCCTTGATGCTCTCTTTGCACCATCTCCTTTGATCAGACGAACCTTATGTGGTCTGCTTCTCGGTTAACTTTCAACACTCTGTACACGGCATTCTGAAACACGGTGGTGAAGTAAGGCCTTTCGTCCTGGAGCAGGGTTCTGCAGAGGGAGGGGTTGGCTGAGTTGGAAGGGTCTTCCATGTCCCAGATTTCCAGCATACTGCAACCCGGCCTGAAAAGAAAGGATGTAAAAATATCCATGTGAAACATGCACTCATACTCAGGGCAAGTGCATAAATCAGAAAGTATCTCTGACATCACCAGAGACTCACTTATTCAACAAATTAAAGATTTTAAAAGATCATTTCAAAAGACATGGGTTCAACATTTGGATATTTGAGTTGCTTCCAGCTTTTTTCTGTCTCAGGAATGAGCTGCTGTGAACATTTGTGTATAGTTGTGGGTATGGACGTATGCTTTTGATCCTGTGTAAATGTACATAGTAGGTGTATGTTTGATTCCGTAAAAAACTGCTAAACTGTCTTACAAAGTGGTTGCACCATGCTACAGTCACATAACCACATGTGAGAGTTCCAGGTCTCCACAGTGTCTGCCACACTTGCAGGGTCTTTTTCTTTAATTTAGCCAATGTATTAAATGTTTAAGGGTATCTCATTCACCTTTTAATTTGAGTTGTTTTTGAGATTTGAGAGTTCTTTATACATCTAAAGTTCTTTATACAACTAAAGTTCTTTATCAGACACAGGCTTTGAAAATAACTTCTCCCAACTGTTGTTGATTTTTTAATTATTCCTGTTTATAAAAGACCAAAAGTTTATATTTAATGACTGTCTACCAACAGTGGGTCCTCTCAGCGATCATGATTATAATATTAGGTCTATGAAATCTTTGCCTAACACAAGGTCACAATGATTTTGTTCTAGGACTTTTATATTTTTAGATTTACAGTTCTATGATTCATAGTGAGTTAAGTATTATAGATGATGTGGAGTGTAAACGGAAGGGTTTTTTTTTTTTTTAGCATAAAGACACTCAGTTGTTTAAGCACTACTTGTTCAAAAGGCTCATTTCTTCACTGAATTGTTTTCATATCTTTCTCAAAAATCTGTTGTCTGTGTGCACATTTTTTCCTGACTCATTTCATTCATCTATCTTGACTCCAGAAGTACCACTGTGTTGACTATTGTAGCTGTATGATAAGTTTTCAAATCAGATAATGTTAGCCACATAAGCTTGTCCTTCTCTTTCAAAGTTGATTTGGCTCTTCCAAATCCTTTGCACTTTATACATGAGTTGAAGAATTAGCTTTTCAAGTTTCATGCCTGCTTGGATTATTTCCTGCAATTGAATTGAATCTGTAGATCAATTTGGATAGAAGTGACAAGTTAATAAAATTTGGGCCAGGGATTTAGCTCAGTGGTGCTGCGCCTGCCTTGCAAGTGCAAGGTCCTGAGTTTGATCCTGGTACCTGAAAAAAATGTTAATAAAATTCACTATTTTAGCCCGGGACCACAGCACATCTCTTCATTTATTTAGATATTTTATTTCTCTCAGTAATGTTTTGTCATTTTTAATGTGCAGTCATTACATGTCCTTTATACATAATATTTTTATGATTTTAAATGCCATTTTAAATTTCAATTACAAGTTCCTGCTAAATAGAATTGATTTTATATTGATTTTATATCCTGTATTGTTGCTAAAGTTCCTTATTATCTCTAAGAGCTTGCTGGTACTTCTACCAGATTACCTGTAGATGACTATGTTGTATCTGAAGAGACAGCTTTACTTCTTCCTTTCCAAGTGGTATGCCTTCATTTCTTTTCCTTGCTTCACTCCGGTGGACCCATCAATCAATACAATGTTTACTGTTGTAAGAATGGAATTCCTCTTCCTGCTCCTGACTTCAGTGAATTGTCTTTCACTACTGACTATAATGTAAGTTATAGTTTCTTCATAGATGATCTTTACCGGGCTTAGCAAGTTGCCTTCAACTGTTAGTTTCTAAACATGTGGGGGATTTTCATTATTTATTTCTATTTTAATTTTGTCATAAATACAGAACATAGTTTGTATGATGTGAATTATTTAAAATGTGTTGAGGCTTGTTTTATGTCTAGAAGATGGTCTTTCTTTGTAAATAGACCGTTTATTTGAGAAGAATGCTTACTGTATGTTCTTGGGTGTTACGTTCTATAATTGTCAATGAATTCATATTCATTGGCAACATCATTCAAGTCTTCTACAGACTGGTTAAATTTCTACTTATCCTGCATATTCCTGAGAACACTGTTAAAGTTTCTGACCATATCATGGGTTTGTCTACTTTTCCTTTATAAATCTATCAGGTTTTGCTAGATGTATTTAAAAACTGTGTTATCTGGTGCATCAGAGTTTAGGGTTGCAACATCCTCTTCAAAAACAGATCCATCTGTCTTCATTTGTAAAATGACTGTGCTTAACCTGGATAATATTCTTTGCATTCATGTGTACTTTATCTCATAGATTTATAACCAGTGCAGCTTTCTTTTGACTAGCAGTAGTAACTTGTATCCTTTTTCTGTCTGTTAAGTTTTAACCTGTTCATTACATTTAAGCAAATTTCTTGAAGGTAGTACATAGTATGATCTTACCGTATGATGCAGTCAGCTGATTCCTTATTTTTATTAGTGACATTTTGTCTTGTATTAGTTTCCTATTGCTGCTGACAAATCAGCACAAACTTTGTAACTTAAAGCAAAATATATTGCTTTCAGTTCTGGAGGGAAGAGGTACAAAATCAAGATGTTGGCAGGGCCACAGTCATTTGGGAGACTCTGAAGGAAAATCCATTTCCTTGCCTTTTTCCACATTCTGCTTTCACAGTCACATTACCACCTTCGCCTCTGACTCTCTTGTCTCCTCTTATAAGCACCCTGTGTTTACACTATTCCTACCTGGATAACCAAGGTAATTTCACATCTCATGAGCATTCATTTAATCACAGTTCCTGGGTATTCAGACACCAATATCGTGGAGGGGCTGTGATTTAGCACAAAAGACCATTTTCATGTAATGCAGATATTATTGTTGTTAGGAATAAGTCTGTCATCTTGCCATTTTCTATTTGTCTCACTTGATCTTTATTTGCCTTTTCTACATTTTCTGCCTTATTTTGGATTAAGCAATTTTTATGATTCCATGTTAATCTTTTTTGTTGCTTTATTAGCTATAATTCATTGTTTAGTCATTGCACTGACTGCAATAGGGTTTATAGGATATACAGACAGTGCTCAAGGATGTCTGGACTTAAGATATTTTGAGAATCTGATGCTATGAAAGAGATATGCATGCTATAGAATCCATACTTTGACTTTTGACCTTTTCCCGGACTAGTGATTTGTAGTACAGTATTCTTACCATGTTCTGTGTGGCTGGGTTATGCTGTTTGGTAGGTTGGGTGTGTTAGGTCATTTTCCCACTTAGGATACTTTCAACTTGCAATGGCCTTTGGGGGACATAACTCCATGTTAGGTTGAGGAGCATCTGCATGGTTTGGATACCGTGTTTTGTCTTTTCACATCTCATCACATCTATAAAACACCTATCTGTGTGTTTTGTGAGATATTTAACACTTTATTATAAAAGAGGATTTAACCAACTGTGCGCTAATATAAGTGTTCTGAACATGGTTAAGGTAGTCCAGGCTAAACTATGATGGGCGGTAGTACAGGTGTATTAAGTGCATTTTTCGCTTACATAGTCTACTTATGATTGGTTTATCAGGGATGTAACCCACTGTAGGTTGAGAAGCATCTGGATGTATGCAAGAAAAACCTTACAATCATATACTTCTATTCTCCCCAGACATGCTATTATTGTAGTACATTTTAATTAAATGCTATAAACTCCACAATATACTCTTATTTTCCCTTAATCAGATGATTATCCATTCTAAGATTTACACAATAAAAAACCCTTCCAATACTGCCCTATGTGGTACCATCTGCCTGGCTATTCATCCCTTTATGTTTATCTGTGTTTTTGTACAGTGTTACTTTCCTTTTGCCTGACAGGCTTTAGTTTGCATCTCTTGTAGTGCAGGTTTGGTGTTGATAACTTCTTTCAGCACTAGTATGTGTAACTAATATTCACATTGACCATTTGCAATGCATTTCTGCATTTCATTTCTTACTAACTTAAGTAACTAACTTACTAACTTAAGTATTATTTCTTACTAACTCACAGGGCAGTGATGGCGAACGTTTTAGAGCGTTCAATGATAACTGACAGCCGGCTGGGGCACTCATGCCATAGGTTCACCACCATTGTTATATGACTTCCAGTCCATTGTATGGTGTAGGCCTATTGTAGACCTGATTGATTTGAAAGTCTTTATTGACTTTCATTTAAAAAAGATAGTTTCACTACAGAATTCTTGATTTTTTTCTTCAGTACTCTAAATTATTATCCAATGTATTGATTTCTACTTCTGATGAGAAATCAGACATTTATTATAGTATTTTTTTCCCCTCTTGTTATTTTAAAGATTTTTCTCTATCTTTGTTTTCACTGTCTGATGTACCTTGCTCTGGATTCTTTGAGTTAATCCTAGTTGGATTTTTTGAGTTTATGGATCTCTAAATTAATGGCATTTACTAATCTTGAGAAGTTTTTGGCCAACATTTCTTTACATATTTTTTCTGCCACTTTTTCTTCTTATACCTTCTGGTGTTACGATTTCCCATGTGTCAAATTACTAAATAATCTTAAACAGGTCTCTGCTATTTTTTTCAATATTTTTAGTCCCTAATTGTTTGGATTAACATTTTCTCGATCTACCTTCAAATTCACTATTTCTTTTTGCTTTCTTTTAAATCTTTTGTTGAATACATTTAAATAATTTTCATTTCAATTATTCCAGCTCTCGGATTTCCATGGGAGGAGGATGTTTTTATTTCTTGGTTGGAATTTCATAACCCTTCACTCACTGGTATCATGTTTTCCTTAATTCTTGGAATATATTTTTCTTAATCCTTTGTATATATTGATTTACTGTCTTTGGCTGCTAAATCCAACATCTGGTACTACTTGAATCAGTTCATACTCACTTTTTATTTTGAGAGTATTGGTATATCTGGTGTTTTTTTTTTTTTTTTTGGTACGGGGATCGAACTCGGGTTCTTGCGCTTGCGCAGCAGGCGGCGAAACCACTGAGCTAAATCCCCGGCCCATCTGGTCGTTTTGATTGAAAGCTTTTTAATCTTTTTTTCTACATATGGTAGGTGGTTTTGATTGAAAATTGGACACTGTAAACAGTGCAGTGTAGTGACTCTGGAATGTCTTGTCTCATTGTCAGTTTGTCTTTGTCATTGTTGTTGGAGAAGACAATGACTTTGCCTGGGACTGCTGTGTGAGCAGCAGCTGACACCCTCCTCGGAGTCTAAACAAAGGCCTCAGGAGCTCCACTGAACACTTCACATTGTGCTCATTTCTAGAACTGCGAAGTTCAAAAAATTTTAAATTGTAATTAGTGATATTTTTCTTAGGTCATTTTTAAGTTATGTGAAACTTTTAACTTATAATACTCAGCTATAGGAGGAGGAGGTTAATATTTCATTGTAAATTCAACTGCATTTCAGCATCTTATGAAAAATGGTCATAAAAATTGTGAAAAAATAAATTTAACAAAAACATTTTAAATATAAATTCAAGACATTAAAATATATTTTTGGAATTGGATTCTATTTAAATGATGGTATAATCTTACTTCTCTAGGTGAAATGATTTTAACTAAAATACCAGGGTAATAGTTTAATGAAATTTATTTTAAAAAGACAGTCTTGATGAACCAGGACTACTGTTATAACGTGAAACACTTGTTACTTTAAAATATGGCACATCATGTAGCACAGGAGGAATACTCACTTGGTTCTCACAAAACACCATGCTTCTTCTAAAACATAATAATTCACAAGTAATTCAATTAATTTATCTCTCACTTCTTTGGCAGATTTTCGACTATACACAGAATAAACTATTTTTGTTCGGGCCCTTTAAAATGAAACAGCAATAATTATAAGAAGAATTTTAAATACATGATAATGGACTAAAGAAAACTTGCTAGCAACTTGAAATTATAACCTTCACTGGATGGAGTACTGATATACATGAAAATAACATAACTTACTTTTGAGATAGCCCTTTCTACATTCTTCTGAATGTATTAAACCTTACAGCAGTTTGACTGTTGCATATTCTGCTTGTTACTGTACAGCCTAGTCTAGAGTTATAATGGGTAGCAGAATATGAGCTCAGGATATAAACTGTGCTTCACATAATCCACAATAATAATTAATCTGCACAGGGAATACATTCTGATGGAGGCTGAAGATAGTGAAAAACAGGTTTCAGTAGATAATTTAATTGTTAGAAGCTCAGAAAAATAGGTGAGTTGAAGTTGAATACAGAAAATAGAATATGTATGCCATGGGCATCTAGGGTGTTGGAGCAGGTAGAAAAAGCACCTCACAGCACTGGGGATGGTGCTCATGGGAGACGCTGGCCTAGCATGTACCAGGCCCTGGGGTCAATCCCCAGCACTGGAAAAAAAAAAGTAAAATAAATATGCATATAAAAAGAAAAAGCACCTTACAGAATCACAGGAGGTCACTAAGCTATGGTACAGGAGATGGTTTGATCGTCAGCTGCAATTCTTATGAAATCCTGAACAAATAATCATTTGTGCAGTAAATGTTACTTAGGATTTGGGGCATATGGATCCCTATCCATCAGAACCAGACATACAGCTTTAAAAAATTGCCTCTTGGGGCCGGGGATTTAGCTCAGTGGTTTTGCTGCCTGCTGTGCAAGCGCAAGGACCTGAGTTCGATCCCTGGTTCCAAAAAAAAAAAAAAAAAAAAATCACCTCTAACAATAGGCCAAAAAGAGGAAAAGATTAGTTAGCAGAATGATCAAAATGATTTTTAAAAACCAGTCATGTAAAGAAAACAAAACTTTTAGCCTTCCATGTAAACTAGTTTTCACATTCAGCTAGCAAAATACCCTAAATTTTCATCAAAGCAAATTTCATAAACTTTTTCTGCCTTTTTTAAAAAAGTCACTGGCCATCAGCAATATCTAGAATGTTTCTTAAATCAGCCAGAGGTACTTGTAGAGTGTACAGCAGAGGCTGTGAGTGAGGTGGATTCAGCTTCCTCCCATAGCTGCTTATGAGTTTTCCTGGAACAGATTCTATTTCTCTCCTGTCATATATATGACACATTTTTCATTAAGCAAAAATAGGTTTTGTTTTTTTCACTCTTCTGAGATTCATTAAGACTTACTCAGAGGAAAGAGGTATGTACTGTCATTTCTGGATGATTATTATATATTTTTTAGCCTCTAACACAAATACAAGGGTTACAAGGATGAAAGTGTGTGTGCGTGTGCGTGTGCGTGTGTGTGTGTGTGTAACCATTCCCTGTCCCTCAGCACCAGCAGCAGGCAGAGCGTGAGTCAGGGCGAGACAGCCAGTGGTTGCCAACCTCAAGTCTGCATCCTCGTAGTGTGGGTGGTTCACAATGGGGTGCAGTGTGGACAGCTTGATGCTCGCCATTGTCGGCATGATGCCTGCAAAAACAGCATCTGAAAAGCAAGAAAACCAAAAGTTAAACTTATCCACAGTATTTGAATTCAAATTAAGAAAGATGAAGCATATTTAAATAAAAACCACAGGGTTTTGGGTGAAGGTCATTGGTAGAGTGCTTGTCTTGCATATTCAAGGCCCTGGGTTCACTTCCTGGAAACACACACACACACACACACACACACACACACACACACAGTAATCATGGACATCATTCTTTTTATTCACTCCGTATTTACTCATTGCCTGCTATTCTAACAGCTCACTTTTGTTACACTGGTGCTAGGGTCCGTGCTCAATATTGTCCCAAGGATTAAGTGATTCCACCCGCACGCCTCTATGAGGGGAGAGCTACACTTCCCGCACAGGGGCAGTGAAGTGAGTCACCCAGGCTGCACACACAGAGGACGCACCGCTCAGCCTCTCGGCCTCTTCCTGCCACGTGGGAGCAATGCACAGGAAGCGGGACAAGGGGATATTTCATATCTTGCAATGAAGTTAAAGCGCTTAAAATGCTAGGAGATGAGAGACTGCTATGAAAGGCAAGTCTCAGGGTGCATTTTCTCAAAGGACGCCATGTGTTGTGAAGAGTATGGTCTTGTGGATGTGCCAGAGGACACTGCGGTCTCTCCTCAGATGGTCTGAAAATACTCATCATTATGTTCTCTTTGTTTCCTCTGTCTGAGTCTAGATCATTCATACATTTCATCAAGCCAGTTCATTACTTATTAGTGGTACTTTTTGAGTGCTGTGTATGCATTTGGTCAGAACTAGGAATATATCAAAATCTACCACCTGCCTTCCGTTTCTGTCTTATTTATTGGAGACCAAAAGACCCAAAGCTTACTTTCTGACATTTTTGTATGATAAATGTTCATGTAATTAGGAAGGTTATGATTATTTTTAATCAGCATAATAAAATCAGTAATAAAAACAAGGCATGTTATTCAGGTCAACCGAAACAACTGAATGTTTATTTTCAACTATCACAAGTATTCTCAGTGTTAACTTTGAAGGAAAACACAAAATATAGTATCTATGAAATGCCGGTAACACTGTATCACAACAGACTATTAGGCCTCGCCTGGGAAGGATCACAGTTCAAATTTGAAGCACAGTTTGTATTTAATGTGTATCGCTTCCATACCCCTGTAAAATCAAGAAATAGTCAAAACATTGTAAGTTAACTCCTGTAAGTCAAAGATCATCTAAACACATACACACAGATGAAACACTAACTATGTGTATGGGTGTGGTGAGTGTAAAAGTGAGGATACATATAACTAAATAGCTGTGTACCTGGTCTGGTATTGTATTTGATCCAATGTAGAAGTTCTTCCTGAGGCAAATTAATAAATTCTCCTCTTATTCTCCATTGATTCTGGAGGTTTGCACAGCCTTGTATTGACATCATTATTGCAATTCCAAAGATAACATTCTCAAAATGAACTCTGTTAAAAAGCCAGCCAAAGAGCTGAAATAGAAACAAACAAACAAACCTAGTTATTTATAGTTTTACACAAAAAGTGCTATAAGGTCAAAAATAAAATTCTCACCTTATTACTCAAGGCAAGGCATATTACCCTTTGCTATCAGCAAATAAATATACATAATTTTCATCACCTATCACTTAAGAACAATGAATATGTTCAAATTACTGGGCCCAGGTAAAATGGAGCTTTCTCTCCTCTCAAAATAATTACAGAAGGAATATCTGATCCCTCTAGCACCAAGGGTTAAGATTAGCGCATTATAACTCTGAAACATCCTAGAACTCAATCCTTTATCATGTAGCTGCCTTTTATGAACATCTTGATTAACTAGGAAAAATCTATTAGCGGTGATACCTACCGCTCAGGAAAACAGGCATCATGATATTTTCAGACACACTTAGGTGCTTAGAGGTGACACAATTCTAGTTAATTTATCTAGCTGTTCTGCACATTAGACACAGGAAGAGAACCACAGAACTGACAGCTTGTCTTTGGATTCTCTGAGCCAAACAGGACTATGCTAGAGCAATTGCTCAGCATCTGCTCAGTACTCAACGAGTATTGCAGGGTGGCTCTGGAGGGCTGGAGGCTGTTTGTGGACCAGACACCAACAGGGAAGGGAAAAAGAAGGGAAAATACTTCTCACTCATCATAGCAACATCAGCTACACTCTAGGAATCATTTTCAAAGCCATCCGATGTCCTTTTGCATACTCAATAGTGAGTCATGAACTATCATTTTAAATAATTTAGGTTAGCTAACTTTAAAACACAGTATTTTTATGTTTTAGATTACTCAGCAAAGCCCCGGCAACCATACCAAAGTTGCTATAGTTCTCACAGTCCAGCTGCACAACAATGGACACCTTACCGGTCGAGAGCAGATCAAGGAAGCCATAACACATATGTGCGGTGTCAAAAACAGCTTCAGTCTCAAAATCAAAATGGCAAGGGCAGCAAATGCTAACAACTGCAATGCATGAAAAACCAGCTATAAAATACAAAACAAAATGACACTTTCACTTTACGTATTTTACAGCAAATAAAGGATATTAAACTATTAGTACTTAGGCCAAATCTAACAGATTACTATGCCTATTACATTTATTCATTCAACAAAGATCCACTGGATGCCTGTTATAGGCCAGGCACTGTTGTGGGGCTTCAGATACAACTCTGAGCGACTTTCGCCCTTGTGAGGCTGAGATGTTAGTGCATTTAGGAGGGACTGGGACCAAGCAGACACAGCAAATAAATGAACCCGTTACAGGCCAGTACAGAGTGGTAAGTTCATGGCCAAGAGCCTGGACTGCAGGATGGGCTGTGGGCCTCAGGTGGGGGCTGTACTGTACGTAGGATCGTAGGATCATCTCCATGGACTGCATGGAAAAGGTGACATTTGAGCAAGGTTTGCACAATGTGAGAGGTGAGCCTAGGGGCAGAAATAGGAGTGACCACTTGTCGCATGCGTGGTCACTCAGTGTATAATAGGACTGACAGCAGTACAGGAACTCGATCATTTTAAAAGGAGCAGGATATCCATATAAATGCTTGTACTAATGAGCGGGGCACCCTACTTTGATTTAGGTGACAGTTCTACTGAGCAAAGGTTTCAAAGAAAACTTCTCTAAGAGACATAAAATATCAACTCAGTAGAAAAAGGGACAATGAATAAGGGCAAATAACTAATGCAACAAAAAGCAGGTGGCAACTAGATGTTTATGTTCTAATTCACTAATATTCAAATTAAATGTTAAAGATAAAAAGGTATTTCCATTTATAAAATTAATATTAATACTGCATGTTAGAGAGAAAGCAATAAAACAAGCATTGCCAAATAAATTGGTACATTTTCATATTTCAAAATATTTATCAAGGCCTAGGAAAGAGCCAACTCCCTTGACTTAAACTGCCATTCTAGGAACTTATCTAAGAGAATAATCAAAACACAGAGATGCTCTACACAGATGATCACTGACATATATTTAACAGCAAAAAAAAGGAAACAACCTAAGTGACTAATAAACAGGAATAAGAAACAAATTGCCACATTTCCACAGGTCCATGGGCAATAAAAATGATACAGTAAAAGATTATTCAATGGCGTGGAAAAGCTTCCCGGATATAAAACTGCATATGTACGAATACTAATTCTGTAAAAAGCCACCCATGAAAACATCTGTACACACACACATGCGTGCGCACACACACGTACACACATGTACAAGGTAGTGTAGAGGAGGATGCTACAGACCATACCAAAAAGTTAATGGGTTATTTTTGAATGGTAATTGTTCTGTATTTTCCAAATTGGCTTCCAAATCCCTACTACTATTTAAATGTCAGAAAAGACTGGAGAGAAGGGTCAGCAGAAATGCATTACCAGCACTCAACAACTCAAGCAAGGCAGCGCCCTCATGAATTACCTTTGAACTAGAATTTAACACAGTAGCCTACCAGAGAGTAAAATGAGGAGACCTTTACCTCACCATGTTCAAGCAGCTTTTTTCTGAAATAAAACAAAAATACTATCTATTTACTGAATGCTCATTAGAGTATAATTATGTAAGAATAACTTCATTTATTTTTACATTTTTGATATTTGATTCTCTATAAATGAGTTAGCAGCATAAATAAAAATAAAGATTAGATAGCACTACTAAAACATCATTAATTTACAAAGCATAATTCACAGTCATTGTATTTAAAGTATGTCAAGTTGGGTGTGGTGGCACATGCCTGCAGGCCCAGCACTTGGGAGGCTGACGCAGGAGGACTGCATGAGTTTGAGTGCAGCCTGGGCTACACGGTGAAGCCAAAGCCAGCCTGAACTACACAGTGAGACCCTATCTCAAAGAAAGAAAAAAAAGGATGTCAAAACGCTATTCTTTGGTTACGATAAAATGGGTTTACTGATTCCCAGAAATTGCTGTACTTTTGGAAGGATAAATGACTAGAAAGGCTTTCTATTAAGTAGTCAAGCTATGTACGATAATATAATACTTTAGAATAATTACTGTTGCAATTTTGATTTTTCATAACTATAAACCACGTGCATACCCTTGTACATAACTCTTTTGCAAGGATGTCTGAATATTTTTTTAGGGTAAAGTTCTACAAGAAAAATTCTTGGGTAAACTTTTTTTTTTTTTTTTTTTTAGTTACAGAAAAGTGATACTATTTACTAAATACTTATGTCCAGTGGGTAGTGAATACAGCAGGAATAATATAGATATCATTATTAGCCTCATAAACTTAGATTCACAGACGAGGTAAGAGACTATGCATTTAATTGTTCCACCGAGTATTTTATAGAAGTTTTTATGGGGTACGAGGGCCTTCCAACATGAACTTGGGGTAGGAAAGAGAAGGGAGACCGCATTCAGAAGAAATTCAGTGGCACAAGGACCTGCGGATGTAACTAAGAGTGCGTCCGGGGCAGCAGGGGTCACCACGCCACCGTGACTCCACGGCAGCCCCTTGCTTCAGATGCAGCCAAGCGCAGGACGTTTCCCCACTGCTCCAGACATCTTTCCGGTACAGCCGAGCTCTGCAGTGAGCTGCTACGTTAAGGGAAGAAGTCCAGGAAAGAAGGAACTGTTACAACTGCCAAGGATCCCCCACAAAATACTGATGGAAATAAATGTAACAGCTGATTCAGATGTGCATACACAAAATGAAAACAGTAAGAAAGTTAAACACCAGGCTGAAGGGGCAAAAATTTTGATGAGGATAATAACTGGAATTTTCATTTAATACTCTTTTATTTCTTGCTTTAATCCTGTTTCCTGAGAGGTCAAAATTTTTGCCCTCCCTGTCTTGGAGCCAGCTGATCATGGACTGAAACCTTTATGAACTGTAAGCCAAATAAACCCCTTCCCTTTTAACTTGGGTGTCGGGTGTTTTGTCTCAGCAATGGGAGAAAAGTAACTAACACAGAAGTTTTGTGTGTTTTCAAAAGAGCTGACTAAGACCTTAGGTGCATTTGTTGAAGTCATTTCCAAAGTAAGGGTGATGACAGACCCTCTATACTTGGTTCTGGTCAGGTGGGGGCCAGGGCATCCTGAAAACAGTCACACAAGAACACGTGACAGATCTGGGGTATTTAATTTGATAACAGAAGGTTGAGGAGCACATGGCCACAGGGTTCAGATATTTGAGAGGGTGTAATGAGGCAGGGGACAGGAGTGAGGATGGCAAACAAGCATCGCAGAGGAGAAACATGACCTGCACAAGGTGGCAAAGACAGCAAGAGACTTTAACAGCACCTTCCTGCCCTTTTTATTTTATTCAGATGACTGGGATTAGGGTGGTGCGGGTGGTGCCAAACTAATCATTCACATGTAGTGGTTTAGTAATCACACGCCCTTAAGCCCAGCATCACACATTCCAGATTCAACTCCCTCTGGAAAAGAAAGTCCCACCTCATCCACATGAGCTTTGGGGGACATCTGAACACAAGCCATAACAACTGCTAATTAAAAATAGAAGTGTGGAGGGCCAGGGATGTAGTTCAGTGGTGCCACACCTGTCGGGCCAGTGCAAAGTCCTGAGTTCGATCCCTGGTTCCGCAAAGAAAAGAAAAGAAAAGGAAAGAAAAGAAAAGAAAAGTGTGGAGTATAAGTTTCATGAAAACTATGTACAATTTTCACTATTTTTCTGTAGATCTAAATCTGTTCTGGAAAATAAAGGTCATTAAATAAAATCAAATGACATACTACAAACATATAATGTAACTTGAGTTATTTCCCTCAAAAGGAAGTTGCTTTCAAAATTTACTTCCTGTGTCCAATAGCAATTTATTTATGTGGATTTATTTTATAAGTCATGTTAGATTTTGTTGCCATTTATTTATGCCTTAATTCTGGTAACTTCCATGAAACCACTAAAATTTGATACAATAGAGATTTAACAATAAATATACAGCAAAAAGACTGTTCACAAATATTCTGCAAAACAAATAAGTATACCTTCTCTAAATGCTAAAAACAAATGGCCTAAATAAAACTTTAACTTATTTCTGTTTAATGATTTTAATTTCTAGTGATATATTAAAATTAAATCAATTTAAATTTTGAGTTATTTCACAAATAACTATATTTCCAATGCAAATTAAAATTAAAAAATCCATAAGAACAGTTGTCTTTTTTTTAAAGACAACATCTAAATTTGGTACCTATCTCCTTAGTTATAATGGTTAAGCTTAATGTACACTTATATTTGAAAAATTTGCATTTCACTAAGTTATTTAATAATTAACATAGTATGTTTTTAACACAACTGTGATATAGTTACCTTAGGTAAGTGTTTGTAGATAAGGCACGTAAAACATCATGAATAGTCTGTGAATAGAATCAAATCAATGAGCTTTTTCTAAGGAATGTTGCAACATTTTAAATGTTCTGATTAATGCAAAGACTACCACTGAAGGAAGTATTTTTTTATGTTAAAATGAGTTTTCAAGAACAGTTCAATCTCAGCTCTCTCACAGGTAAACTGCCTTTTAAAATGATAACTGTTGTTCTATAAGGAGTGTTGGAATAGATCTTCAGATGCCCTTGAGCTCTGAGGCCCTAAGCTTCCCTAATGTGGATAACTGCTTACTAGTGTTGAAATCCACATTTTTCCTGGGCAGGGGAGGAGGATCAGCAGATTGGTGTCCACGCAGGAGGCAGCTTCTCCTGTGCACCTGCAGGGACTGTTTTATCTCAGCCTCTCTAGCAAATGAGGATCTCCCTCCTCTAACCTACTCACCTATGTTCTAGCGTCACTCAGAACTCTAGATTATAATGAATTAGCTATGGACATATAAGCCTCCATGGTTATTCTTTCAAACCAAAGTGACTGCTACAGGAGGCTTAAGAAACTCATCAGAATGGACCTGGTAATGGTGAGTGCTGGAGAAGAGGAAGTGTGGAGTTGGCCTGAGATGTGAGCAGGAAACACAGAATATTTAAGGATACCTTAAAATTTCTCTCTCCACAGGTTATGTGGCTTATAGCTCAGAGATAAACATGTAAAAATAATACATAGTTGAACCTGGACTCTAATTGAAAATGAAATGTAAGTTTAGAATTTTTCTCTCTCTGATTCAAGAGCATTCCTCATAGAAGAATGTTTCAACTTCCATAGAAACGTGTGTGTTGTGCAGTTGCTAGTCCACATGCACAGTGGGGCTTGTGGTTATGTCTGAGGACTCTTAATGAGTTCATGAGTCTTGGTTTTTAATTTAAAAAAATACAGTACCAGCCGGTCTACCTAGCACTTTCTCCTGCCCCGGCTGTCTCTCCACTGAATATGAAGTCCATTCATGGATTAGCCCCTAAGTGGAGCCCTTTAACAATGTCACAGCTGGCCTTGATGGAACAGAAATGGGCATTGGGGAAAATCTTCATCTAGGGAATGGATAGCAGCAGAACTTGTTCCCACCTGGGTAGGTCCCTCTCATTTCCTCTGTCCTGACTGTCTTTGAGCAGTCCCTCAGAAACTGGATCAAGGGGGAAACAGCACAGATGTAGAGGCAGGTGACTGCCCACTCATAAATTATTCATATTCTATGTGAAAACAAAGGAACGAGGCATGTGGCATGGGGACATACACAGTTTGCCTTTAAATACAGAAAACTCCTCTCATTAGGAGCACAACTGGTATAGTGGCAGAGAAATCATGTTATTGGTATCTGCTGAAAAATATAAAGTAAATGCATAGTGACAAGGCAAGACAACTGGTAAACAATATTAATAAAGATGGTTCAGAAGAAAAGAAATACAAATCCCTAAGGGCCCACTGTCATGAAAGGGGCTTTCAGACACATCACTCCCAGACCAGGCACAACTGGCAGTGGTATTTTAAAGATTATCTCTTTCATTGTGACATTTCTTTCTTCTGTTGTAAGAACACTCAGTGTGCAGAAAAAGACATTTTAAAAATGGCTATACAAAGCTAGGTGTGGTGGGGCATGCTTGAAATCCCAGAACTTTGGAGGCTGAGGCAGGAGGACAGTGAGCTCCAGGCCCTGTGTTTCAAAAAAGAAAAAGGAGGAAGAGGTGTGTTTGTGTGTGATGGAAGGGATAGGAGGAACAGGAGAAGGAAAGAAAAAAAGAAAACAAATGGTCATACAAATTTTTCCTGAGTTTGTCTAATGAAAATAGATAAAGACTTCTTTGTGCTTTACATGTGAAAGGTACTGAAGTCATCACCGTATTTTTCTTTCTTAGTACCTATCACAATTGTAATTCTTTAATTATGTGTGTGATTACTTGCTTAATGTTTCCACTTTTCACCCCCCAGGACTGCCCAAGATTGGGGTGGCCATGTTTTATTTTTCCAGAGTACGTACAATGTTAATGTGGTTCCCCATCCATAGCAAGGGATTGACAAAAATCTTTTGAAAGAATAAATAAAAATATATTTAATAATGTGGATCTCTATAAAAACAAAGACAAAGAAAGACTCAAATAAAAAAATGCAAAGAAAGAATTCATCTTATTTAAAAATAAAGAATCCTGAGCAAATAGCATTAAACTATTGGTATTCTTTTTTTTTTGGTACCGGGGATCAAACTCGGGTCCATGCCCTTGTGCAGCAGATGGCAAAACCACTGAGCTAAATCCCTGGCCCTCTATTGGTATTCTTAATCTGAACCTAAAAAGAAGTGATAAAAATTTTTTAAAATACCTTTTTAAAGATAAAACAAGTAATCACCATAACAACTGGAAGCAATAACGTTTTTGTGTATCTCAGTGGAGTCTGAAAATTGAATCAGCAAATTACTGATAATAGTTACTGAATTTTACATTAACTTAGTAAAAATCTATGTCAAGATGACTGCCACAATGATATTCCTTAAAGGTAAAATATATGTTACTAGCAAGCTACTTATTTGACAACTTCCACATCCTAATGCAAGAATCAAAATTATAAAACTAAGCAAGTATTAAAAAAGATGAATGATAAACCTATTAAACCTAGAATTAGCTAAGTCCATTATGTTTTCCTTTATTTGGATCTGTATTTTCTTTATTTACATAATACTAAGTTTCAACAAGTGTGTTACTGCTCCCTGGGTCTAAGGTTGTTATTTCCTACGTTGCAAAGCTCGATTATTTTCATCTATGAAACAAGAGCAAAGAAGCAAGAAAGCTAGCCAAAATAATTCCTGGAAGTATGAAAAGATGCAGAAGTAATATCAGCCAAATAATCCTCATGACCTATTCTGGTGATAAGGAGTGATTTGCCATGTAACAACTACATTTCTTGAAAGCAGGAACCAGGTCATTTTCCTCTTCGCTGGCCTATAGCAAACTGCCTCAGATAATTACTGGCCAATAACAAGTTTCTGAATGAGTGACTGGTTAGATGGAGAAGAAAATGAGACATTTTATTACTGCATTTACCACTAATTTAGAATTTATCGTTATTAGATAAAGATTGATCCAGTGGCAACTTTTTCCTGTTCCATGAAGAAAAAAGTCAGCCTTGGATAGAGGAAAGCACACTGGCTTGGGAGCACCAGGATCCACCGAAGCCAATGTGCTAATTTTAATTTTGGTTCCAGTGTGCACATTAGGCAAATCTTTTACGCATTGTTTTTTTTTAATCTGAAAATGGAAAAATTATTTGACATGGTCATTGAAATTTCTTTCTAGTCTTATTTTTCAGGGTCCTAAAAGGAGGCAAATATTTTAAAGCTTAACAGCTTGAGCATGTTTTAAAAGGATTATGTCATGTATTTTTTTGGTACTGGGGATCGAACTCGGGTCCTTGCACTTGCGAGGCAGGTGGTGGAACCACTGAGCTAAATCCTGGGCTTTATCATGTATTTTAAGTTTCTAAAATTTAAATGAGTTTTGTGTACTTATTAAAAGTTATTAGCAATACCCTATTAAATTTTTAATTATATCTGGGATACTGATAAAATAAAACTGGATTTCTTAAAAAAATAAAAACAAGAATGTGGATTTTATTTTCCTGAATGGTCCTTCATCTTCAAGTGGCCTCAATTATTAAAAATAATTGATTGGTAATAATAGTGATTACTATGGGTCCTATAGTATATTAAATACTTTTTCTAGATTGTAGTATTTAACCATCATTATTTAAGATAAGGGCTACAAGCTATTGACTTTACAAATAAAATAGGTGAGGAACACCATATGGTTAGCAAATGTTATAGTAAAAGATGACAGAATAAATTTGGTATATCTGAGTTAAAATTTTGAGTTTCACACACAGAGGAAAATTCAAGAATAAAAATCACCATACCTGTAGAGAAGGAAAAAACAGAAATACTCATACCACTTGTTCCATGAAGTAAGATTCAGGAGCACAGGTGTATATTAAAGTATCAAAATCTGCATAACGTAAAATTCTGGCTGCTATAATGTCACTCAGGCAAATCTAGAAGAAAATAAAAAATGAATTAGAATTACACAAATGATTATAGTCAGCAATAACTTATTTGACATGAGAGTAATGAATGGATGTGTCTCAAAAAGAAAACAAAAAATACAATGAACCAAGCATCCCATATGCTGATTTATCAAGATAACTGAAAATAAAGAGAAATATAAAAAGAAAAGGAAAATTGATAGAGGTCAGAAAAAAATAAGCAGAGAAGATAATAAAGCTAAAATCAACACTTATTGGTAAAAAACCACCATACAGTTACTCATGACATTATTTTATCATGAAAAACAATCCAATTACCATTTTCATCTCACACTGTAAGTCAGAAACTTTCTATGCAGTTATTTTCATCAAGCCTTCTGCACTAATGACATTTGTTATTTCTTGACATGATGTTTGGCTACCTGCTATCAGTGAGATACATATTGCAGGGGCCAGCCTACGAATTTATCCAGATCCAGGGGTTGAATGGATATTAAAGACACAGATACAGAGATAATTTGGAATGAGGGGACCAAGGGGCTCTTGCCTCTCGGACAAAGAGCCCTGAGTGTTTGGCTCACCTTGCTTTTCTTCACTTAGACACATGAATGAACAATTAGATTAACAGACGATTCATCTACCTCTTATTATCTATAGCATGTACCCAGGTAAACATCCAGATCTCAGCTGTGCTGACTCTTCTCTGGAACTTGTAACATGCTTGTTGCCAAAGGAGGCACAGCTTGCTGTTTTTCACTTTTGTGCTTGTAGGGAAGGTAAATTAGGCCTTGATCCTCATTATCTGGTCTCCTACAAGTACTTTTCCACTGCATTCTCAGAAGGCCAGGGAAAGGAAAATATTTAGCATGGCCAGCCTTACTTCAAATTATTTGAGAGACAGAAATTATTTCACAAGTTTGATCATTATCAGTATTTTTTCATTCACGGTTTCTCTTATCTATTAGCACCATGGATAAATCAGAGAAGTCCTTTATTTTTCTAATTCAAAATAGACCTGTTTATTAACAATGGCAATCAGACCGCTAGCATTTCAAGTTTTTCTCACATCTATCAGGCAGAGAAAGTCACTTACAACTGCCAAGGTCGGGGAGCTGGGGATGTGTGTGTGTTGCTTTTAAGATTTGTAAAGAATAGGGTGACAGTGTGGAGCGAGGTAAGAAACAAAATCACAGAATAATTTAATTGGTAAAGAAATAACTTAGAAGGCCTAGATGAAGTTTATTATACCCTATACAGACCCAACAAAATAAAAAGAATGATGGAAAAAAAGGGAAATGTGTCAGACATATGACAGATCAACAGCAAAAAATAAACCTACTATACCACTATTCAAAGCTAGAAATAGCCAATAAATGCTTACATTTAGAAATTTTATTCAACATTAGCATTTATATATTTTGGATAGTAACAACATTTAACCTTTTAGAGAGGGAGTACTATAATCAGTGCTAAAGTTCACATAATCTCAGTGCTAGACAAGGTCCTGACTGAATGGCACAAGGTAAGGTAAATTTCATACTACAGTATTGTGTGATTGCTCATGTATGCTTATTTCTTAACAGAAAGTGCTAGAAATCAAACTGTTTTTTCTTCCTTACTCTAGGTAGTTAAATATGAACCTACACCATGCAAAAGGCCATTATTTAAGATACCAATCTTAAAACAGAGAAATACCATATGAGGGATAAGAGCTCTGCATATTATTTGTAATAATGAGAAGACAGAACTATTGGAGAGATCCAACATGGCTGACTAGAGGAGGAGTCATATCAGAGGTGCTCAGAAATGATTCACTGAAGTCACAGGTACTCTGTAATGGAAAAGAGTCTTATACTCTGAAATCAGAAAATTAATCAGAAAGATGATACATGTAGATCAAACCTAACACCTGTCACTGAAGAGGGCAAGTGGGGCTGCTACAGGTGGCCTGCACTACTCTAGCTGTCACCCTTCCAGAGAGCAGCCTTCCAAATTGTCTGAGGAAATGAACAAACAAATGAGGGCTGTGGAGGTTGGACTCTTGGGTCAGACTCTGGATATACCAGCCCCCTTTCCCTGCCACTTCTCCAAACACTGGGGAACACTGCAACCCAGTGGCATCTTGACCAGTGCTCCCTGAGGACAGGGGCACAGCCCCCCCCCCCAAATGCTATGCAGAGAGAGGGTAAACAGGTGAACAGGGCCTGTGGATTACCATGGTCACATACTCTTGCCCATGGTCCCTGCGGACTCCCACCTGAGAGCAAATCATCTGCCACCTCCCCCAGTTCCGTGACTGCAAGTGAATGCATTGGCTTATTCCTGCAGACACTCTGCCAGAGCACGAGCAAGCTCCTGACTCTGGACCCCCACCTGCAAGTGAACCTGCCCCCAGACGCCATCATCATGCCTGCAGGGGAAAGCATTCCTAAGCCAGTTCCAGGGACAGGGTCAGATCCTACCTGAGAATTGGATGGCAGAATTCCCAATACAGGGGAAAAAGTCTAAATAAGTTAAATAGCTGAATGGGTAAATACTATCTCTGGACAAACAAAACTAAAACACATCATTAAAAGACAATATCTTACTTTTAAAACTTCATATTAATTACAAGATCTTCTTACCCTACTCGACCTCAACCTTCAGCACCAAAAAAGGGAAAAAAATGAGTGGAAAACCACACACACACACACACACACACACACACACACGCACACACACACACAGAGGAACATAGGAAAACAAGACAACAAAAAACCCCATTAATTCCCCAACTCTCCCAAGGTAGATCTAGGGGGCACGGATGGACAGGAAAGTAAACACTGGGTAACAGAGCTTTATGAATTGACAGAAGAAAAGAAACTTTGTTAGTTCAAAGAAGTCATGACCCAAAAGTTTATGGAGTTATCATACAAAATGACCAATGTGGAATTGAAGGAAACAAATTAAAAATTGGAAAAGTTCACCAAATCAGTTCAAAACATGAATGACAAATTTACCAAAGATATAGATTCCATGAAAAGGTACCGGTAAGAAATATCAGATATAAAAATTTGTATAAAATTCATAAAGTGAAGAAATGACCAATGTAAAGAAAGGGTCTCTGAAATTGAGGACAAAGTAGTACATTAAGAGAAATGATAAATGAGAAAACAATAAACAGAAAATTCATCCAACAACTACTAGATGACACTAAGAAAATCAACCTAAGGCTAACTGAAGTTAGAAACTAGAAGACAGCACACATAAAATAATAAATTTGTTTACAGAAATCATAATAGAAAGCTTCCCAAGTATGAGGAAAGAATTCAACAAACTAGTAGGTGAGGCTTACAGAACACCAAGCAACTACAGTGAAAAAACAAGTCAGTATGACAAGTTATAATTAAGTACCAGATGTCTAACAAAACACACACACAGACACACACACACACGCATGCACACACACAAATTTAAAAGCTGTCAGAGAAAAGCAAAAAATCTCATTAGAAAAGTAAACCCATTAGATTTACAGAAGACTTCTCAACACAAAATTTAAAGGCCAGAAGAGCTTGACTTGAAGTATTTCAAGCCCAAAAAGTAAACTACTTCCAAAGCAGATTTAACATATCTGGAAAACTTTGTTTCAAAATAGATGGAGACATAAGGACATTACATGAAAAAGAACAAGAGATTTATGAATACCAAATTAGCACTCCAGAAAATACTCAGGGATATCCTACACAGATATGATGAAATCAACAAAGCTAAAAATCCAGATAGAATGAATACATCAAGCAAGATAAACAACAAAAATTAAAAAATGAAAACAAAGGAGTATCAAGAGAGAAAGAGCACAATGATAGGAATTAACACCTCTCAGTAATAACTCTCCATCTTAATGGCCTGAACTTCTCAATTAAAAGACAGAGATTCATAGATTGGATCAAAAAACAAAATCCAATCATGTGTTGCATTCAAGAAACTCATCTAATCCAAAAGGATACTCATAGACTAAAATAAAAAAGGATGGAAAACAATATTTCATGCACCAGGACCCAGAAAACAAACAGGGCTAACAATTTTACTCTCAGAAAAAGTCATGTTCAAGCTCAAATTGATTAGAAGAGACAAAGATGGTCACTATATATTGGTTAAGGGAATAAACCAACAAAAAGAGATAACACTTGTAAATATATATGCACCAAGTACTGGAGCACCTATATTCATAAAACAAATAAAAGACCAAATAAACACTAACACAATTGTAGATGATCCCAATACCCCACTTTCATAAAGAGATAGATTAACTAAACAAAAGTCAAGAAAGAAATATCAGCGCTGAACCACACCCTTGACTGTATAAACTCAGTAGATATCTACAGCATTCTACCCTACTACAACAGAGTACACATTATGCAGCACATGGTATAAAATATACCACATAGTAGTTAAAAAAGCTTGCTTAAATAAATATAAAAGAATAAAAATCATCCCATGTTTACTATCAGGTTGTTGTGCAATGAAACTACAAATCAATCACAGAAGAAGCCACAGAAAATTTAGAAACATCTGGAAATTTAATAGCTCACTTCTGAACACTGTTTGGGTCATAGAATCAATCAAGCAAGGAACTAAACAATTTTTGGAAACAAACAACAATGCCAGTAGAACACACCAAAACTTATTGATTAAAATGAAAGGAATCCTAAGAGGGAAGCTTGTTGCAATCAATGCTCACACAGAAAAACAGAGAAAACACAAATAACCTAATGAGGAACCTCAAAATAAAACAATCCAAGCCCACACTGACATTAAGGAGAAAAATTACAAAGTTCAGAGTGAAAATTAATGAAATTCAGACTAAAAAAATACAAAGAATCAATAAATCAAAGAGCTGGTTCTTTGAAAGAATAAACAAAATAGGTGAACTTTTAGCCAAACTAAGGAGGGGGAGAGAGAGAGAGAGAGAGAGAGAGA